CGCTGGACCAGCCGCTCCACGTGCAACAGTCCACCGCATGCACGGTTTCATCACCATCGGCAACCGATTCGGCAGCTTCGCCGCAATCTATCGCCGGGGATTCGACGTCATGGTCAAGACTTGAAGAACTCGACCCATTGACGTTCACGGACTTCCAGTGGATGCCCACTCCCTCGACCGGACGATTGCCGAAACCGCATTGCAACGTGCTTATGGCACAATTGCGGGACTACTTGCACACTGCAGTACCAGCTTCGTTGATGGACGCCGAAGTAGAGGTTGTCGACCTTCACGCTTACATCGCAAAGATCGACCGCGAGTTCAAGACGCAACGGTACGACGACAATGACGCACCATTGCTATACGTACGCAATCAGATCGGAGAGGCGACCTGCAGTGCCTTGATCGATTGCGGAGCATCTCGCAACTACATCAGCCAGGACTTCATGATACGTGCCGGCCTTGGCCCACATGTCCGGAGGAAGTCCCAACCTACGCAAGTCACATTGGCAGACGGTCATACGCACAAGTCAATCGACTGGTGCATTGATGTCGTCCCCTTATACTTTGCCCCTCACGCAAGTGAGGCGGTGTCCTTTGATATTCTGGACACCAAATTTGACATGATCTTGGGCATGTCATGGCTGCGAAGCGAGGATCACCCGGTGAACTTCTTCAAACGCACCGTTCACAATCGTGATCAGACCGGAGTATTAGTTCCATGCACGGTGCCTCTCCTCATCCTTCGATCAGCTGCCACGTGGTATCCGCCGCAAGCATGGGAGCATCCAACATCAGAGACGGCATCGAGGAGATGGGGGTGTGTTTTCTCCACGCCCTCCCGCCCCGAGACGCTTCATCGACGGACTCAYCTTCGGATCCACGCATCACCGAACTTCTCGACGCCTACAGCGACGTGTTCGAAGGCCCGCACGGAGTAGTACCGGATCGACCCATCCGCCACGAAATCATCCTCGAGGACGGGGCCGTACCTCCGCGCGGTTGCATCTACCGAATGCGCGAGGAAGAGTTAAGTGTGCTTCGCGCACAACTCGACGACCTTATAGAGAAAGGCTGGATTCGGCCTAGCTCATCGTCATACGGTGTTCCTGTTCTCTTCGTTCGGAAGAAGAACAAGGACCTGCGGTTGTGCATCGATTATCGCAAGCTCAACGCGCAGACGATCAGGAAYGCCGACCCTCTCCCACGCATCGATGACCTTCTCGAGCGATTGGGCGGCGCTCAGTTCTTCTCTAAGCTGGATCTCAAGTCAGGGTACCACCAACTCGAGATTCGCAAGGAGGATCGCTACAAGACCGCGTTCAAGACACGGTATGGGCATTTCGAATGGCTGGTCATGTCGTTTGGCCTTACGAATGCCCCAGCCACTTTCCAAACGGCTATGACAATGGAGTTCCGACACATGCTGGATCGTTTCGTACTTATCCACCTTGACGACATTCTGGTCTACAGCCAGAGTCTTGACGAGCATGTGGAACACCTGCGCACCGTTTTGGAGCGGCTACGACAGGCCAAGTACAAAGCAAACCACGACAAGTGCGAGTTCGCACAGCAGGAGYTGGAGTACTTGGGACACTATGTGACGTCGCAAGGCATTCGGCCGCTTGCGGACAAGATCGAGGCCCTACGAGTATGGCCCGCGCCACCAACACCACGGACGTTCGTTCATTCATGGGGTTGGCGGGCTACTATCAGCGATTCATCACCAGATACTCCAGGATTGCTGCACCTATGACGAGGTTACAGTCGCCAAAGGTGCCATTCGTATTCGATGACGACGCACGCCGGTCATTCCAAGCACTTAAGACGGCTATGCTCATGGCACCCGTTCTTAGCATCTATGACCCCACCCTGCCGACGCGAGTGACTACGGTCGCTTCCGGCTATGGCATTGGGGCAGTTTTGGAACAGCACGATGGCGACGACTGGCACCGTGTGGAGTATTTCAGCCACAAAGTGCCTCCCATCAACTCGCTTGATGATGCAAGGAAAAAGGAGCTGCTCGCATTTGTGATGGCTCTCAAGCGCTGGCGGCACTTCCTCCTTGGGCGTCGTAGGTTCAGATGGGTCACAGACAACAATCCATTGACCTACTACAAGACGCAGGATACAGTGAGCAGCACAATCGGACGATGGATGTGCTTCATCGACCAATTTGACTTCACACCGAAACATGTTTCGGCCTCTCCAATCGCGCAGCAGATGCACTCTCGCGATTTGCGCTATGACACATCATGCCTTTGCATTCGACAAGGAGCTTCAGCGACACTTCATCCGGGTATATCAGTCTGATCCGGACTTCGGCACGCTCTAGGCACAGCTATCTTCGGATCACCCGCCGGCCATCCATTACCGCATTGCCGACGGGTACTTGCTCCTCCACTCGAGAGGCAAGGACTTACTATGTGTCCCACGCGACCGTCGTCTTCGGACTCGCCTCCTCGGCGAGTATCATGATTCACGACTCGCCGACCATTTCGAAGTCAACCGCACTATTGCACGGCTTCGACAACGATTCCGATGGCCTGACCTCATTACCGATGTCACTCGGTATTGCGACTCGTGCGAAGTTTGCCGACGCAGCAAACCCCGCAACCGCAATCCTTATGGCGAGTTACACCCGATGCCTATTCCACAGGAACCCGGTCTCTCCATTGCCATGGACGTCACCAGTCCGTTTCCTCGCGACCGGCTCGGGCACGACGGCATCCTCACGGTTGTGGACCGATTGAGTAAGTACACGCGTTTTCTTCCTTGCAAGTACTACTCCACAGCTCCCGAGATGGCACGCCTCCTGCACACTGGTTGGATTTGTGGCCACGGTGCACCAGAAGACATTGTCACCGACCGCGACACTCGTTTCATGTCGGCGTTTTGGACTGCTCTCATGCAGGAGTCCGACACAACAATGAAACCAAGTTCGGCTCGACATCCTCAGACAGACGGGCAGACGGAGCGGGCATATCAAACCGCTCAAATGATGCTCCGTATGCTCATCCGTCCGGACCAGAAAGATTGGGTTGACCGCCTTCCCGACATCGAGTTCGCCTACAACACTTCGGTGCACCTGGCGATCGGCGTGACTCCATTCGAGTTGCACCACGGTGGACGGAAAGGCCGTATCCTCCCTTGACCAGCCGACATTGATGCTGCCTGCTCTCCCGATTCCGTCCGGAAGTACAGGGAATTGCTGACTTAAGCCCGCGCAAATATGCAAAAGGCTCAAGTTTGCATGCAGCAGCAAGCCAACAGGCGTCGCGTACCATGTCCCATCCGCGCCGGTGATCTGGTTTGGGTCTCCGCAAAAGATTTTGCACTGGAACAGGATGTTTCACGCAAACTGCTTCCCAAGTGGTTTTGACCTTGGTCTGTGACAGCAGCCGCGGGGGATGAGCGCGATGACCCTTCATTTGTGATCAACATTCCATAGCATCTAACGGTCCATCCGGTCTTCCGCGCCTCGAAGCTGGCAACATACACGCCAGCCAAGAGCGACGACTTTCCGGGCCGACGATCGCAGGACCCTCCCTCTATGGATGGTCATCAGGAAGTTGACCGCGTCATCTCCGATCGCAAGTACGGCAGCAAGTCGCGGCAGTATAAAGTCACATTCAAAGCATGCGATCGCGACGACACTCGATGGATTTCAGGCGCAGATCAGAAAGCATCCGCACCGTTGATCTACGCGCATTATGAAAAGCGGAGGTTAGCTCAGGAAGCTTCACGACCAGCCCCTCCCACCGGGACTGTGGTCCCTCCCTCAGACAGACAGCTTCGCCCTCGCAGGTAAGCTCGGTTCTTCAAGGAGGGGGGGGGGTGGCATACTACGTAGCCACACGGGCCCTGCAGGGCCCGTCGCGGACATTCAGCCTAAAAGCCTAAAACTTAGGGCTTACAGGCCCCGGTCGTTTCAGCCAGAAAGCTGAAAAACGAGGGCCTGCAGGCCCTACTTCGTTTGAGCCTATTTCTGGGTCTTTCAGACCCAGAGTTTTTCCAGCCTGAAACGGAGGGCCATTTTCAGGCCCTCATTGTTTCGACCTGCCCCTAAGACTCAGGCACGTAAACAGGGATGCGGAACAGGCCAAGAATAGCCTGTTCCTCACGTGCTCGAGCAGGAGCTGCAGCTGTAGCCCCTGCATGCCTTCGGCATTGTCAAGAGCAGCCTCCTGGACTGCTCGCACAGGTCAGGAGGCACACCCGAGAAGTACATAGGACTGTCCTAGGCACTTCACGGGTAGATAGTCAGTCAGTAGTCAGGTGTAGTCTTCAGGATAGCGGAGCAGCACTCAGAGGAGCGCTGCCCAGGGTAGCTAGCGCTAGTGGTAGTCTTCGGTGCTGGGCGCCATAGCTGTAGTCTTCAGCGCTGGGCGCTATAGCAGTAGTGTAGTAGTGATATGGGAGAGAGATGCTGGCGGAGGCCAGCGGTACTTACCTGTGGCGCCATCGCTCAGCTCCATCTTCGTGGTACTTGCATCAAGGCGCCGACTTTACAGGTTAGTACTGGACTGMGAGAGAGAGAGAGTTCTTCTTCTTCCTCTTCTAAGTCCACCACCTCTTCTTCCCCTCTCGCTGCCTACTTCTCAGTATCTGTGGACTACGAGAGAGAGATATGACTTGAGACTTGACGACATTGGATACAGACTCGACATTTGGGATTCAGACATTTTGACGGGGGACTATTTGGGCCTGTGCCGAAGACTTGGTGTTGACGACATTCCCATCTTTCCCYCCTCTTCGTCTCACCCCCCTCATCTTCGTCTGTGTATGTGTGGGGCTGGCGCAGTCTTCCTGTGTGAAGCGCCAGACCCCTTTCACACCCTGGGATGATGATGGTGATGTATGTTCTGGACTGCATKGCAACCTTGATTGATCGGATCATTGGTATCTAAGTCTTCCGTTTGCGCCATCTTGTACTTTGCATTGAGAGGTCGGTTCTTGTTCTGTCTGCACCTTTACGGTATGCAACAGCTGCAGACATGCAGGGATGGGGTGGACATCACGGCCACATGGATCCACATTTGAACGTCGTGTTGCGGCTGCGGTGGTTATACCACCGGTACCTTCTTTTATTTTTTTTTTATTTTTTTTTCCGGTACCTGTCTCAGCTATCGAGGCTGAGCTTAAAACTGCCCTGCGTGCCAAAAAAAAGGAACCGGCGCGGGCCTCGCTTTGGCTGGCGCCACCAGCCATTTCTCGCCGGTAGTCCCAAGCCTGTGCGCCTCCAGTGTTAACGTGTGGGCATTTGTTTTTCAAGCAGGGAAAGGTACTCAGCGGTCGTTTAAGGCACCACTGCCATACCAGGCTGTTGAGCTTGAGATCGCCGGTCCGATTCCATGCAGCGTTGGATTGAGGAAGATACAGAAACAAAGACCTTGTAAGCGGTTCAGAGTTCGAGCCTGCGAAGAGCAAAACAAGAAATGTCGTCAAAAAGGACAGTGGACGAAGTGGAATGCTGGCGCCGTAGCGCTCCGCTTCCGCGGCGCATTCGGGCAACACGAACTTATAGGGTTGCGTGGTCTAACGCGGGGTTCATCTGCCATCCCCCGGGGTGCGCAGCACAGGTGGGCGGGTAACGGAGCTTTCGGGCCATTGCAGTGCCCGAGCAACAGTGACGGGACTTGTTCTGTTCCAGGGAAAGGAAGGGAAGGTAGTTCGAGTTGGAGGGGAAGGGAAGTGCATTGAACACAAAGAATATACCGAGCTGAAGAGCGCCGAGACAGGCGCGCTTCTCATGGAAATTTAGGGCAAAATCGAATCTGGTGAACCACGGTGGGCATTGCCCCTATCATACAGCTGGTCTTCAACATCAGCACGGCTGGATTTCGCCGTTACATTTTTTTTTTTGATATTGACAGCAGTATAGCCAGATTTCGTCCTTGCACTATCGATGTCGGGACTGGGAGAGGGAGAATCTACTCTCCTTACATCCCTAACGGGCATGGAAGGGAGTGTATAAACAAGGGAGAGGTAGAGGCTTCGGACGAGAACCTCACTGTGGAAGCAATGTTATCGTGAAAGGAATCCTTTCTGCACTGAATCCCCAGCAGTATACATGATTTGTTCTGGCTGGGGTACGTCCTTTGGACTGGTTCCAAGCAGGGATTATGCCAAAGTTCGTTGCTGCAAGAGTCGAAGATCGGCAGATCGGCAGCAGCAATAATCCAAGGGGAGGCATATTAGTCAGAGGTCTAGAGTGGCGGGTTACGTCGTGGAAGGTAGCCTCAGGCAAAGGTTTGGTGAAGAGGCGGCTCCTGCACTGATCCAGAGAAGATTTCGTCGTCCTCTTGAATAAAGAAGTGAAAGTTGAGATTCTCTTCAGTACTTTCAGAGCTTACACAGGGCAGTAGCAGTCAGGGAGAGGATCGGGAAGGGTCCCCTGGGGAGAAAGGTGGAAGCAGGTACTGGACACAGCAAAACAGCATGGCAAGTTCGGTGTTTCAAGATTCTGGCCGGCCCTCCACTCCGGAGCACGTGTGAGTTCTAGTGTGGCGGGTTATGTCGTGGAAGGTAGCCTCTGGCAAGGGATTGGGAAGCGGCAACTGCAAGAACGAATGTGGGAGTCAGCGACAACGAGGAGCATTCATCAGGAAAGATTCTTCGGAACAGCAGAGATCTCTGGCAGCTTACGGATATTTTGACGAACGGCGGCAGGATTCAGACGGAGTTGAACGTGCGGTGCTTGAACTGTGGGTGTGAACTAGAATGGGTCTGTGTGATAGGGCAGTGCCATCAGCCTAAAAAAAGTGATGGTAAGGTATTAAGAGTGAATGATGTGGATCTAAGGAACAGATGGGATCATACTCACAATGCAGGGGGATACAATCACGATAATGAGGATGATGGTGATATTAATGATGATGTGCATGATGATGATGACGATAATAGCGATAGACTCTTTGGAATCAGAAGACCGGGGATGGCCAAAATGATGGTGATAACGAATCATTGGAATCATCTCAAAATGGTGATGATGATGATGATGATGATGATGACGATGACGACGACGATGACGACGACGATGATGATGACGATGATGATGATGAACAGGACAATGGCGATATGAATTGTTGGAATCAGAAGACTGGGTATGAAGAAAGGGATCTGGGCGGTACAGTCTACTGGGATAAGAAGAGAAGCGAAGACAGGAGAGTGGATTTCAAAGGTTCCAACCGCATGAACGGCAGTGAGCAGAAGGAGGGCGAGGACGACAGTGTTGAAAAAGCTCATAATGGGCAGGCGAGGAGATGGGATTGGAGAGTTCCTTGGTACTGCGAGAAAATGTTGTGTGTGTGTGCGTGTGTGTGTGTGTGTGCGTGCATGGGTGTGTGTGTGTGTGTGTGTGTGTGTGTGTGTGTGTGTGCGCGCGCGAGAGAGAGAGAGAGAGAGAGAGAGAGAGAGAGAGAGAGAGAGAGAGAGAGAGAGAGATCATTGAATCATCATTGAGTCATTGAACAGAGAGATCATTGAACCTTCACTGAGGGCTCACAGAGCTCCAGGAAATGTTATTGATGGAATCAAAGCCAGTTACCTTGTTAATTATCTAGGGCTCCTCAGTTGTTGAGCTAAATGTAGAACTTTTTTATCCTCAGAACTGGTTTTCACAAGTCTCAGTGGGTAGTGGGACTAGATGCTAACTCATTTCAGACGCCTTTGAAGGGGAGGTGTAAACAGTAGGAGTGTGGTTGGTTAGATCATAGGCAGTTTTTTCTGAGATCTGTAGTTATTTTTAAAAGTTGGTTCTCATACGTTTTCGCATGTGTGCTAATTGATTGATTGTTTTCCTAGCCGAAGCTGGGTAATGGCCCCGGAACTTCAATTGTGTTCTATATTCTCAGTTGTACTTCAAAGGGATGCTGAGCCCGGTTCTCAGCACGTGATGCTCCCCATGAATAGATTGGAGCTTTTGTCCCAACAAAAAAAAAAAGAAAAAAAAAAAGGGTGAAGAGGTCCCATTTTTTTTTTGCTGTTAGCGCAGAGAGTTTCTGAACGTTGAGAATTTACCTGATGATTTATCCATTGGAAGGGACGCTGGACCCAGTTTCCAGCAGGTGCAGCTCCGCAGCAATCGAAAGGAGCCATCAGAACCTTGCCGGCTTCTACCCTCACAAAAAAAAAAAAAAAAAAAAAATGTCATTGTCGCCCCGCTTTTTGTTTTGTTTTGTTTTGTTTTACAGAAAAACTTTGAGATACCGGGGCTTTTACCCGCCTTTGTCCGAGAATAGGATCATGAGCAATTACTAACCTATATGATGAAGAACCCCACAAAATAGGCTAAAATTCAGAAAAAGTCTAAAAAAATCTGAAAAACTATGAAAAGTTTCTTTCTAAGCTGCGGGAAGGGACTATAAGAACCTCTTTTTTTTTTGTAAAGCTACCGGGGCCATTACCCATCTTTGGCTAAGACAGTTCTGAACTATTTAGAAAATCACTACGACAATCTTCAGAGAAAAAGGGGCTACCCACAAAAAAAATCGCCACCACAAAGGTCCTACACGTGTTCAAAACCCTCGGAATCCCTCACAAACCGTTCTAAAATTCTCCAACACTGTCTTACTCCCTGCCGAGGTCTTCCAGGCCTCACACCCCCACGCTGTTGTTATGATTCTGGTTGTCTGTTGTCTGAAGACCAACACTCACTCACATAGACTCCCAGGTATGCCCATACATACACAGAAGGAAGGGGAGAGGATAGGAGTATCACACCGCACAGGGAGAGATAAACACAGCGGAAGACTTGACCATGCGATATGATAGGGTACACTAAAAGTGCAATTCACTCGATTCAATCCTCACAACCAGTCATAAAGGAAAGCCGAGTAGATCACATCCAGGAGACAATGAAACGATGATAGCCCAAACCCAGTATTACAATGTTTATTAAACTCAGAGTCTCAGATTGTCAGAATAACTTCAGACCTACAGTGCGCTGCTCAGAAATGAGCAGCGCTTCACTCCCCAACCCTGAGTAACCACTAGTGACACCCCTGAGCCCCTGAAACATCAAGCACCACCCAGATAAGCGCCACCCTGAAACATGCCTCTGAGGTCAAGCGCCACTCAGAGGATGAAGAAAAAGACCAGCGCCACAGTATCTGATGATGACGAAGTGTCGGAAGACTTCCCAGATGGAAGTCTGCAGCAGCGCCACCAAATCCTGACAAGATGACCTCTGAGGAAGAAGCTGCAGCTATGGCTGCAGCGCAACAACCCTGGAACCCCACTCCGGAGGAGGGTTCAGCAGGGCACCAACTTCTCTCGCCTCCAGCAGACCTCGACAACCCAGACCTCTGACAGCCCCGCGTGTTGAGAGAGTACAGCGCAGGTCCCAGCTATGGCCAGCGCTCCGATAGTCTGGCTATGTTTGTCTCCCACAACGCTGAGTCGTCACCACTTCCGGTTCACCCCTAGCGCAGCAACGATGTACTCGGTACCAACTGCCAAAAGCCCTGAACCGATGTGCCCATCCTATCTATAGCTACTCTAGCCAAGACAGTCATAGACCGGACTGACCAACCGGTACCGTTTCCGTTTCAGCCTCTTGGCCTCTACCTTACCCGGCTATAGGCTATAGGACTATCTATCAGCATAGGCCTTTAGGGCCTCTCTGTCCTAGGGGTAGCCCGGGCCTGCTATTCTCCTTTTTTTTTTTTTTTTTTAGAAAAAGCAACCCGGGTGAATGCTAGGGGCGCTGATAAGAGCAGACGCCTCTAGCATGCTCGGGGAGGCTCCATCTATTGGTGGGGAGCAGCACCTGCTGGAAAACGGGTCCAGTGTCCCTATGAACATCCAAAAGTCATGTGAACATGCCACGTGTCCATCCTAATGTATACGAGAAAAGTACATGCACGGACACGCAGGCACACAGCATTAACCTAACGGGCAGCGTCGATTGCTCTCAAGCGAGGGATCGGCTGCCCATCCTCTATAAGATCATATCCCCACTCAGAAATCCTCATCGTGTAATCAAATCTTGCAACACCATGAGGAGGAGGCGACAATCCAAATAGGGAAACTATTGCTAAAAATACTCAAGTAGCAGGGGCCATGGCAACTCTGAAAATTTGTCCGAGCAGCACATACACTGAAAAAATCCGTCTAAGCATAGCCGTAAACAGTGGCAAAGGTTGTAAACCCTGTCCCAATATCTGCAGTAAGCAGGTACAAGACAGAGTTGTCCGCCTCACGGGATGCTCTACTAATGTCTTCCCAAACACCAAAAAACTATATCCACTTCTCTACTAACAGCAAATTTTTATCTAATTAAGACCAAAAATCAAAAGGTTCTTATCTACTTATATCCGAAAATCGAGAATAAAAAAACAAAATAAAACAGACAAAAGGCACATTGCTACCATACTCACTCAACAACATCTTACCAGAAGAACCCCCAAATTGGGCTCACTCCACGATGTCTGCACTGGGTCCGGACTCAGAGTTTCTGCCATGCTTAGCTGGGTAGGTCTTGCTCAGTCGAATCACTAGGTTGGACAGAACGTACCTAGCATATCGACTATGCTATCCCACATCTCGTCTCTGTTCTTAGCGAATCTTCTGAGTATCCCCATAAAGAACTCGCTAGTAAACTCCTTCAATCTCAACTCTCACTTCAGGCCCAGTACCCTCATGGGGATCTCCGTACGGACCGACGTATTCCTATCGATACGATGGAGATATCTAGCAATGGTAGCGCTCTTCTGCCTCTTACATCCCCACGATTGGAAAGGCTGCCCTGTCTGATATTCCAATCGCTCTTCCTCCCAGATGCTCTTCTCGTTTCTTGACATCTGCACACACTTAATGTATGGATAGTGTGCCTGTGTGGAGATTCGGCATCCCAAAAAGTCAAAATTACCCGTCCCTTCGTGCGTCCTTTTCAGCACAAGGTTATCTGGGTAACTCCTCTCAAAGCTTTCAAACACTGCACACTCCTCTCTTTCCTTCAGCCCGTGAGTAATCAAGGTAACATCATCCATCAATCTCAGACCGTACATATGCAACCTCATTCTACCCAAACTGGTCAGAAAGTTATATTCAGCAAAAGCGCACGTGATGCACGCTAGGGGCCCATGGGGATGCCGATGTCCTGTCTTAGCAGTACTCCGGTCGCGTAGGTATAGGTGTTCCGCAGCTCAATCTTGATGAACTTCACGATATCTTGAATTTCCAAGCGTTTTCAGTGATCGCCCCCTGTTGTCAGTCCGAAAGAGCAGCTCCTTCCCCTAGTGTTAACTCTTACGTAGGTGCGTCCTTTTCCTTCATGAAAGTTAGCTGCCCACTCAACCGCACGCATGATGTCTTGGTGAGGCATCTTACTGAACATGTCTTTTATATCATAAGAGCGGGCCTTGGTACTTCTCATGTCCTGCTCCATACCAATCCTCCTGTTTACCACAGCCAGACGGTCCGTTAATAACGAAACAGCCTGCAGATTGAAGTGCCAATTTTTTGGTAGCGTGAACAACAAATGGTTGAGCCCCTTCGCGACCAGCCTCCCAACCTTCACGGCAGGTTCGGAGAACGTGGGGCAGATCGGGCGGAATCTTTGCACGTTCTTATGTTTTGGCAGCACGTAGGCATTTCCTACACTTCCCTTCTTGTCCCATCTCACCAACTTCGACAACCCTGCATCCTTCATTTCCAGTCTCATCTCTTCCAACTTCTGCTCCTCCGATTCCCCAACGATACTATACCCCTCATTCAAGACAAAGGTTGACATCATAGCATCATGGTAGATCTTAGGACACATAACCAGGGTTTCCCCCGGGTTGCGATCCAAAGGCGTGCAGACCAAGCAGTCGATCTCCTTTTTGATTTCGGACACTTGTGCCATTGTCAGGAGCTTAGATAATTGTTCAGGTCGATTCAAAAAACACTTCTCCAACTCAGTTGTCGCCACACTCACCTTCCTATCGTGGTAGTTCGACCATTGGCCGAAGCTCTCCTCAATCTCTCCTTTCAAAGTCAGTATCCTGCCACTGATTTCTTGGGCCGGTATATTGTTCGCGTTCAGGATCAGAGGTCGATTCTTGCAGATGTCTCCCAATCTCGCGCACACGTGTCCTTCCACACGAGAAAAGGATAGGCCTGCACAATTGCAGACTAGCACATCACACGCAGCAAACTGCCGCTGATTATGCAATATGTCCCCTACTGACCTATTCTTGGTCCAGACTAGGCAGACTTTCTTGCGTGCACGGGTTTTAAAGCCATCTAGCAAATCACTCCCCATGATCAGGTCATTGATGACCTTCCGGAGTTCACACAAATGAATCCTATCGTCAAACTTCACTCTAACAATCAGATCAGCCCCCAGATTCAAATCAAAACGACTTTTGAAGAGTCTTTGAACCAAGCGTCTCAGGTACTTCCGAGTAGACTTTTGGGTAAAATCCTTAATTACCGCATATAACCGCAAGACAGATCTCAAACTCCATTCATACAACTCATCAATCTTCCTAGGATTCTTCAAGATCCCAATCAAAACCTTCTTCACCACCTTACCCCCGGTCTTCCATATTCGTAGGTGCACAAA